TTAGCATTGGGCAGCATTTATCCTCGTCGCTGTTTATGACGGCATAAATTAGGTTTATGCTGATGGAATTAATCACCCTAAATTTAGGAATAATAAATAGTCGTGTTTATGTGGAGTGGCGATGTCGGAGGGAGGCGAGTGGAGCAGGCACACACCCGAGGCTCGAGGCTCGGTGTGTGCGGTTGTGGCAGCAACCCCTAGAGAGCAAGGAAGCCCTTGGGGTCGAGCTCCCAGAACTCCCGGCCGAGCCCCGGACATGGTTTAACACTATGCAAACGATTTAGCAGCAGGACCTGGTGAGTTCCCAGAGCCAATAAATTTCCTTTAAATATATACATACATATAATCTATATCTATATCTATATCTATTATCTATATCTATATCTACATACACACACACACATACTTATTGATTTCAGAGAGGAAGGGAGAGAGGGAGAGACATATCAATGATCAGAGAATCAGGGATCGGCTGCCTCCTGTACGCCCCCTACTGGGGATCGAGCCTGCAACCTGGGCATGTGCCCTGACCTCCTGATTCATAGGTCGATGCTCAACCACTGAGCCACATCAGCCAGGCAGCCGAGACTTTTAAGCCCTTGAGTTGTGAGATGTTACACACTCCTGGGGGTCTCAGGCCTTTGGGTGGTGATGCTGCCATTCCCTGTGGGTTCTCCTCTCCGTAACGGAACGCTAGGATTTCCAAGTCCCTCTCGGCCAAAATGGTTTGGGTGACCCGAGGGACCTGCGCAGTTCCTGGACGCTGAGTGATGAAAGATGCTCTCTACGTAAATAGGGTCATTTTAATCATAATTAACAGGGGCAGTGATGATGAACGGCACTGTCACTGAGAAGAAGCCGGCCTGCTGTGCATGGGGGAGCCTGAGGCATGTGGCTGAGCCAGGAGGAGGCTCAGGGACTGAGACCACATCAGCCTTCCAACCAAGGACCTCCATCAGCCCGGCCGGCGTGGCCCAGCAGTTGAGCGTCGACCTAGGAACCAGGGGGGTCATGGTTCGATACCCAGGTCAGGGCACATGCAGGGGTTGTGAGCTCCATCCCCAGTAGGGGGCGTGCAGGAGGCAGCCGATCCAGGATCCTCTCTCATCGTGGATGTTTCTCTCTCGCTCTCCCTCTCCCTTCCTCTCTGACATCAATAAAAATATATTTAAAAAAATAAAATGTGGACCCTCTTCCAACAGGCCTCAGAGACACTGGGGTCCTCGTCCCCGCCGCCCGCTCTGAAGGCAGGTGGCGCCCTGACAGGAGACGCGCGACCCTCGTCCCTCCTCCAGCTGTTTCTCAGTCACTTCACTCCCAACCACTCCACAGCCTTGGTTCACCACTTCAGCCACCCCGTTCAGATAAAGCGACACCCTTCCTAGAGCTGCATCCAAACTGCCATCAAATGCAACTGACAATCAAGATTTCTCTGCAGTAAACCTTAAGGGCGTCAAGGAAAGCATTGGCTGGCCCGTGCGGAAACTACAGTGTGAGCCCGAACTCTGCCACTCACCCACCATGGGACCTGGGCAAGTCACTGGATTACCCTGGGCACCGGCTTTCTCCCTTTTAATAGAAAAGTGTGGAACGGAATCATGTCTAAGGACCCCTTTGGCATGAACTGCCCATGGAGCCATATACCTTTCTATTTAGAAAGCTCTGAGATGGCCCGGCCGGTGTGGCTCAGTGGTTGAGCGTCAACCTATGAACCAGGAGGTCTCGTTTCGACTCCCGGTCAGGGCACGTGCCTGGGTTGCAGGCTCGATCCCCAGTAGGGGGTGTGTAGGAGGCAGCCGATCCATGATTCTCTCTCATCATTGACGTGTCTATCTCTCTCTCTCCCTTCCTCTCTGAAATCAATGAATATAGATTTAAAAATAAATAAATAAAAATAAAAATAAAACGATGAGACCGCATCAGTGAAGAACAGATAGTGTTTTGTACCAAGCCCAGGAGAAGGTCTGCCTGCCAGGCCTCCTCGATCACACCCCGCCATCAGATAAACCCACAAATGTGTTACTACGGCAACATCCACGTGAGGGCGGTGGGGCCAGCGCCCCACGTACTTGCCGTTGACGACCCCGTCGGGGTTGAGCATGGGGATGATCTTGAAGATGAAGTTTTCCCTCAGGAGCCGGGCCCCGGGGTCACCGCTGACCAGGAACTCCAAGGCCCCCTTCATCACCCAACTGGCGTTGGTTTCTCCCGGGTGGACGCGGGCTGTGATCACCTGGTACGGACGCTGCCCTGTTGGAAAAAACAGAGGAAACTAAACCTCGATTCACTTCCCACTTCCATCAAGACGTCCCCACGGGGCCCCTGGAGGTTACACGGGACCATCGTGACGTAGTTCGTAGGTCCATTGTCTGTAACACACATCTGGCCCGCATTTATCCATTTTCCACCTGCTTCTAGGGCCGGCGAGACTCGAGAGAGGATGTAAGTCAAAGCTCAAGGCTGTTATGAAAAATGTAAATATTTTTGCCTGCCCAGCATGGCTCAGGGGTTGAGCGTCGACCTATGAACCAGGAGGTCAGGGTTCCATTCCCCATCAGGGCACATGCCCGGGTTGTGGGCTCAGTCCCCAGTAGGGGGTGTGCAGGAGGCAGCTGATCCATGATTCTCTCTCATCATGATGTTTTCTTTTTTTAACAAAAATATATTTTATTGATTTCTGTGTTCTTTTTACTGCTGACATCAATAAAAATGTATTAAAAGCAAAATAAAACAAAACAACAAAAAATGTAAATACTTTGAGGCACGAGAAGAAGCTAAGAAGCAGATTTAGAAAGGCCACCAAAAAAAAAAACCTCTCCACAGTGGATGTCACCGATATGGGAAGGATTCTTCTCTTTGTCACTACCAGCTGTGACACGCAGACAAATGACCTGATTTCTCTGTCGCTATGTTACCAGCTGTAAAATGGGGACAATCATATTGACCTCCTGTGGTTGTTATAAAAACAGAAGGATGGCCCCGGCTGGTTCCACTCAGTGGTGAGAGCGTCAGCCCGCGGACTGAAAGGTTGTGGGTTCGATTCCCCGTCAAGGGCACGTACCTCGATTGCAGGCTCGATCCCCAGCCCCAGAAGGTGCCCATGCGGGAGGCAACCAATTGATGTGTCTCTCTCATATCAATGTTTCTCTCTCTCTCTCCCTCCTCCCATCCACTCTCTCTGAACTAAAATAAAAATCAATGGAAAAAAATATCCTTGGGTGAGGATAAAAAAAGGAAAACAGAAAGGTGTTAGTGGCATATTCTTGCCATTCCCTACATGTCAGTTCCCCGCCTTGCCAATTACCAAGTCTGTGGGTGAGATGATGTTTGCTATTCCTCAGTAGAAATAAGAGTCATGTGCGCAACGTGTATTGGAAATTTTTGCCTGCTGGACACGGAGCCCTGCCCTCGAGAGATTTGACAACAGAGTGAAGCACCTCAATCTTAGGCTCATAATAGTTTCTTCAATTTGCAAAGAGAATCATTGACGCTTTAAAAAAAAATACTAGAGGCCCGGTGCACAAAAATTTGTGCACTCAGGGTGGAGGGGAGCCCCTCAGCCTGGCCTGTGCCCTCTTGCAGTCTGGTACCCCTCGGGGGATGTCGCGGGGGTAGGGCGCGGGGGAGAAGGGCACGGTGGACGTTAATGGAAGGTCAGCTCCCCCCTTCCTGCTCTCCCGTTTGCTCACCATCCCTTTTTCCGCCTTCCGGGGCGAGCGGTATTGGCACGCCAACAAAAGGGCTGTGCAGAATAAAGCGGCCTGATGAGTCAGTGCCCATCAGTAGCCTATTTTCAGCTCTATAATTCCACAGCTCGCTCTGTGGGTTTTGAACTAGGTTCATTTACAGCCCATTGAGCGACACTGGGAAGAACTCCCCACCCGACAAGGAGAAATAAAAAAAAAAAAAAATAGCTTAAGCTGCTGTAAATTCTCAATGCTCTCCTTTTTAGACCATTGCCCGCCCCTCTCCCGCCCTCCGTGTGTTAGTCAATAAGCTCAAGGCTGCCCTTGCAAATCGGTGTCAACCAAACTTTCCTTTGGAGGGTCAGGCGGGTCATCTGCTATGTTGTAATGCGCCCCACCACCTAGCACAGCGGTTCTCAACCTGTGGGTCGCGACCCCTTTGGCGGTCGAACGCCCCTTTCACAGGGGTCACCTAAGACCATCCTGCCTATCAGATATTGACATGACGATTCATCACAGGAGCAACATGACAGTGATGAAGCAGCCACGAAAATAATGTTATGGTTGGGTCACAACATGAGGAACTATATTGAAAGGGCCAGGAGGTTGAGAACTGCTGACCCAGCAGGCTGCTCTGAGCCTCCTGAAGGTGCGAATGAAGGGAGCCACGGGGTCTCGTGAAGATATAAGTGGCATTCGAGCCACGTCTCGTCGATTTTCCTCTCCTCCTCTGTGTGATTTAAGAGGATTTTGCGGGCATAGCGCTGAGTTAAACTTACGGGACCATTTGGCTGTAGCAGCCAACGGTACCCCAGAGAACCCCTAACAGACAACAGCTGTAAATAGTATGCAACACACACAACATGCGTTTTATTCCGTGTAATGGCCAGTTTCGGTTTCCATAAGTCATCTCTGGTGAGGGTAGGAGAAAAAAAGCGTCAGGGATTGGCGTTATTTTCCCTCTGCCATGGATGAAACAGGTCCCAAAGGCCGCCAAAATCTATGAAGAAGTCATGGTTTTGCAATATTCTAATTCCTTTTAAAAAATATGTATATCTTTATATTGATTTCAGAGAGGAAGGGAAAGGGAGAGAGAGAAGCATCCATGATGAGAGAGAATCATGGATCGGCTGCCTCCTGCACGCCCCACACTGGGGATGGAGCCCACAGCCCGGGCATGTGCCCTGACCGGGAATCGAACCGTGACCTCCTGGCTTATTGGTCAATGCTCAACCACTGAGCCACATCGGGTAGGCCTATATTTTTTGGAAACATTCTAATCCTTAAAGCTTCGTATTACACGTATGTTTGTGGAAATGAGATCTGTTAAAAGCGGTTAGAAACGAGTGGGGGACAGCAGAATGCCTGGGAGAGAGAGATTCAGGATAACGGCCAATGAAATGGAGTAAGAACTGAAGACACGGTGTGATCACACACAATCGTGTACCAACTATATAAACATCCTTTCATTTGCTCCTTCTTTCTTTCAACAATATGTATCATTAGCTCCCACTGGCACTTGGCAAGGCCTGGGAATTCCAAGAGAAGTAATGGGCTCGTCCTCGGGGAATTAACAGCCCCGCTGGTGAGAAGACAGGCACACAGACAATCATGACCCAGTGAGATCAGGGACATCTGTCAGCCCGTCCTCAAAGCACAGTGGAGCTCTCATTAGGCCCTTATTGATAGCGATGCCAATCGCTGGCAACGGCTTCAATGTGCATCCCCGGGAAGCTAGTTAAGGAAATGATACAGAACAGAGGATGCTATGCAGTCATTAAAGATGGCACATAGCTGGTGCTTGAGCATCGACCTATGAACCAGGAGGTCACGGTTCAATTCGCAGTCAGGACACGTGCCCAGGTTGTGGCCTTGATCCCTTGTAGAGGGCGTGCAGGAGGCAGCCGATGAATGATGCCCTTTCGTCATAGACTAGAGGCCCGGTGCACGAATTTGTGCACCAGTGGGGTCCCTCGGCCTGGCCTGCGGGATCAGGCCCAAACCGGCTCCCTGACATCCCCCGAGGGGTCCCGGATTGCAAGAGGGTGCAGGCCAGGCCAAGGAACCCCACCCGTGCACGATCGGGGCTGGGGAAGGAAGCAGACCCAATCGGCCGGACCCCAGCAGCAAGCTAACCTACCAGTCAGAGCATCTGCCCCCCTGGTGGTCAGTGGATGTCATAGCAACTGGTCAACCAGTCTACTGTCTGCCCTCTGGTGGTCAGTGCACGTCATAGCGAGCGGTTGAGCAGCCTTAGCATATCATTAGCTTATTACGCATTGATTGGTTGAACGGACGACCGGACACTTAGCATATTAGGCTTTTATTATATAGGATGTTTCCATCTCTCTCTCCCTCTCCCTTTCTCTCTCTTTAAAAAATCAATAAATACTCTTTTTTTTTTAATGGCACATCTTTCTCTTTCTGTTGACATGAGAAGATAGCTGGGACATAATGATGAGTGCGGGGGGGGGGGAGGCAAGAGAGTTGCATGCTGGGAGGATCCCAATATGTGTGCAGTTATAACATTTCCTTAAAGACATGGAAACACAGAGATGCACCTGTGCCTGGAGGTTATTTAGGGCCTCCTGCTCCCCATGGAGAATGCTTGCCAATTCATAAAATAATAACCATATGTCAGTTTCCATAACGGCAAATATTTTTAAGTAGTGGTACACCGCAGAAGACAAAGAGGAAAACAGGCCCGTTGCAATATGGAATCAATATCAAAAATGACTAATGAGATATGCTTCATATTTTGTAGTTAAGTCATCAGAAGTTTTGTATGTATTTTACACTTTTTTAAAGAAAAAAACATGTATTTTTATTGATTTTAGAGAGGGAGAGAGACCAAAAATGACTAATGAGATATGCTGCATATTTTGTAGTTAAGTCATCAGAGGTTTTGTATGTATTTTACACTTTTTTTAAAGAAAAAAACATGTACTTTTATTGATTTTAGAGAGGGAGAGAGAGAGAGACAAACATCAATGATGAGAGAGAATCATGGATCGCCTGCCTCCTGCACACCCCCTACTGGGGATCGAGCTCACTACCCGGGCATGTGCCCTGACGGGGAATCGAACCGTGATCTCCTGGTTCATAGGTTGACGCTCAACCACTGAGCCACATCAGTGGGACTATTTTAAACTTTCGACTTATCTCAGTTTGGAGTCATCACTTTTATCTGTTCAATAGCCTCCTGTGGTTCCTGACTAGTATATTAAACACCTTGGCCCGAGACCAGCAATGGCGAACCTATGACACACGTGTCAGAGGTGACACACGAACTCATTTTTTGGGGTTGATTTTTCTTTGTTAAATGGCATTTAAATATATAAAATAAATATCAAAAATATAAGTCTTTGTTTTACGATGGTTGCAAATATCAAAAAAATGTCTATATGTGACACGGCACCAGAGTTAAGTTAGGGTTTTTCAAAACGCTGACACGCCGAGCTCAAAAGGTTCGCCATCACTGCCCTAGACTGTCTATCAACTCTCTAACTCAAACCCTTTATCACACTTCATGGTAAACGTTTATTAGAATCCAATGGAATATCG